GGATCAACCTCACCACTTGACTACTTCCAGAACAAGCCTCAGCCCCTGCTCTGCAGAGTATCTCAGAGGGGTGGGGAGACCTGCAGGCTTTCAAGTGGCAGTGGAATGTGTGCTCTAATGGAGGCCAGGGTCAGTGGTGTGGTAGTCTGCAAGGGCCAGGCGTAATCCTGTCTGGGCCATTCTGTGATGTATGAAGAGTGATGTTTGAAGAGGCCAACTCCATGCTGTGGTTACTTCAGAAGCCAAGGTGACCATAGTCACTTCTGCTTTCCATGACATCAACATCAACATCAAGGACACGTTCTCCTGGGACTCGTGGCTCAGCCCCTTTAGTCCCTTCACAGGTTACCTTCCAAGGGAAAGGTAGGAAATAGGGAAATTAGACCGTATAGGCTCCTGTTCTAATCAGAAGTTCAGGGCTGTTTTTCCCTGGGCATTAACCTTGTTGGTGAATGGGGATCTTCTTGCCCACTTTTCTGCTGCTCAAAAACAGGCATGAAACATTCAGAAGATCCTTAGGTCATGAGATCTTCTTTTCCTTGGATATCGGTTCTCTTGAACAAAAAGTGAAGGCTCAGGAAACAGCCTTGATCAGAGGTGTCTGAGCTCACCAGGGATTGTCACAGGTCAGAGGAAGATGGAGAATCATCACTTGGCACTGATGTGTATGTTTATTCAAGAATGTGTATGCGTGTGTATTTTTTGTGTTGCCTGTAACCCAGTGTATTTAGTGGGCAACTAGTCACATACCAACTCTCTTCACGTAGGAAGAGTTGAGACAGATTATGGAGGGCTGGAAAACTCTTCTTGGTAGTCTATGTGTGTGTCTGTGTGTGTATATACACGTGCTGTTTATGTTTATGTTTGTGTGTTGTGTTTGACTGCATGGCTGCGTGTGTATATATGTGTACATAGTATTTGCGTTTGCCTGTGGGTTGTGGTTTGTCTGGATGACTAGGTGTCATGGTTATGTGTTGTACTGTGTGTGACAGTGTTTTATTTATCAGTTGTGTGTAAATTTGTGTGAAAATTCACAAACACTGACTGCTTTTTACCTAGAGTACGTATAGGTCCTAAAGAGAATGAGTATAGGTCCGAAGTTTATGATTCTGTGTATGTGTGTGTGTGACTATACGTGTATTTTTATGTCTAAAACACCCACACTCTGACTATTTTAACCTAGAATGGATGTAGAAGAGAGGGAGCTAAAATAGTGATAAAGTAATGTGTGTGTATGTGTGTGTGTGTGTGTGTGTGTGTGTTGGATAAACAGACTCATAGCTACATTCTCCTCTTATGTCTTATCTCCTCTTATTTCAGAGAGACACAGGCAGCTTCAAGCAGGGTCCTCCTCAAGCCAAGTTGTAAGGCCTTTGTCCATGTGAGTTGAAGGCCCCACAGTGCTCTGAGGGCACTTTTCTTCACTGGCCTTCAGCAACGCCATTTTTCTACTCTTGGGAACACAGTAGTGGTTAAGAGCTTAGGCTCTGGTGTCACATACCTCTTGATTCAAATATCCTATTTTGGCACTCCATAGCTTTATGACCTTGGGCTCTACCTCTGTGAGGCTCAGAAGACTGAACTGTAAAATGAGATGAAAGATTTAATCAAATATGTGGCATGTTATAAACATGCACTAAGTGGGCGCTAGCATCATGATTATTCCTTAAATGCATGATATTCTCAACTCGCTAGTCATTTCTTGACTATTCAAGGCAGAGTATTTTGTGCAAAGGCAAAGGAAACATCCAAAGGGGTTCTTTCAAACTCCAGCTGACAGCTTCCCTTCTTCCTTCCTGAGCGTGTGTCCAGCTGCCTCTTTCACACAGGGGTCTTGCATCAAGATTATATTTCTCCTGGTCCAATGATTGAATGTGAAGATCGTACTTGACACATAACTTCTGGATTTCCTCCCAGAGATGCTTGAGTTCCAAGGACAAGTCTGATCTAATAAATGCCAGTGGGAAGCCAAGTCTCAGCAGAAGGTTTAATTCACTGCCCTCCTCCTGGTCCCCACTGACTGAGATGACCTGCTTGGCTGAGCTCCTCTCTTCTTTGAAGGACCTCTTATATCAGATATCTATGCCTTACAGTGATGTCTTTCACTAGCTTCCCTCTCTAGGGCTTCTGTATGTGACCTCTAACTCTGATTTAACTCCTAGTGAAGGAATTATAGGCACCCAATAAATGTTTTCTGGTTAATGTAATTAAATACATGTAAAAATCCTTTGCAAATTAGAAAGTGTGATATAAGTAGCTGACCATACATTCTGGTTTTCCTGGGAAAGTCTTGCTGTGGCTCTGTTGTCCTGGTATGATTATTATATAACTTCTCTTTCACTCTTAAAAGTGTCCTGGCTTGGATAATAAAATACAGAGTCATCATATGTGTAAATATGAGTGTTGGTAGATAATCACACAGGTGGCTGGGGTAATTTTGAAGCCCTGAAGCAATTCCAAACAAGGCCCAGGATTTTCTGCCAAATAAACGAGGGGCAGCATCAATGGAACGGTGAAGAATAGGGCGTCTGATCATACTGACATAGATTGGAATTGTGGCTGCATCAGGTATTACCTTTGTGACTTTGGACTAATTATGTAACCACCCTAAGATTGTGTCCTGAAATGTAAATTTACCATTATTAATGCCTATGTCCTAGTAGAAGCTCATTAAATATCAACTATGATCAATGCTAAGGTAAATTTTTGGAATTAGTCATAGTTAATCAGAAACTATGAATTCTAATAGATATCTGAAATCCTACGTTATCAGCAAGTTCTTAGGGGTCTGGGAAGGACCTTGGGCAAATTCTCAAGCCTCTCACTGCCTATGTATGCTTACATTGGAGAGAGAGAAAGGAAAGGAAAAGGGAGAAGGGGAGGGAGAGGGAGATGGAGATGGAGAATAAGCGAGTTGGGTCATGTGAAGAAGAAACAATGTTTCTAAGATCATTGCCATCAGGAAATTAATCCCTAGGGTCCATGGTCTGAGTCTTTGCCCTTTCCCAGGGAGTGTGAAAGTCCAGAAAGTTAACAATTTTTCTAGGCCAACAACTGGGACTTGTCTGATGCCCATATTGCTTTTCTGTTCTCTTGAGTTCCTGGAGTTTGATGCCAGATTTATCTGTTTAACACGTCCTGCTGTAATAATAGCTAGCATTGTTGCTAACTAAGTGTAGGGCACTGTTCTAAATTTATCACACGCATTCAACTCATTTAATTCTCCCAACATCCCCATAGCCAGGTAATAATATTATTCTCACTTTATAGACAAGGAACTGTGGTACATAGAGAAAGTGCCCAAGACCACCGAGACAGTAAATTATTGAGGTTGGACTCCAATTCAAGCCTCTTGGCTACAAAGCCCCAGCTCTTGATCAGTACTCTATAATGTGCTCATAGAATGTGAGCTTCAAGAGGGAAGAGGATTGGGTATTTGCTTTCTGTTCTATTCCCAGGGCCAAGAATGGCATCTGGGACATGGTTGAATAAGTGTAGAAATTTACACTGGTCTCCTTTGAAGGAAATCTTGTCTGCCTTTGGAAATCTGACGCACTCTGTGGCTAGAATGTGGTAGGCAGAAGATTTAGACAGCAAAATGTGCAGTTTGTCTGAATTTTGACACAGTTTCCAGGAAAAAAAGTGTGTGGCTATAATGTACACATGGTGATCATAACAGCCATATCTCAGCCCTGATATTTCCTACTCCCTCTATCCCTAGCAGAGATTAAGAAGAGAATGAGAAGGGAGAACCAGAGCAGCATGTCTGAATTTCTCCTCTTGGGGTTCCCTATCCAGCCAGAGGAGCAGAGTGTGTTCTTTGCCTTGTTCCTGGTTGTATACCTGACCACAGTGCTGGGGAACCTGCTCATCATCCTGCTCATCGGGTTGGACTCTTGCCTCCACACCCCCATGTACTTCTTCCTCAGCCACTTGGCTTTCTCTGATGTCTCTTTCTCATCTGTCACTGCCCCAAAGATACTCATGAACATGCAGACTCAGCACTTATCCATCCCCTATGTGGGGTGTTTTTCCCAGATGTATTTTTTCATTCTTTTCGCTTCTCTTAACAATTTACTTCTTGCAGTGATGGCATATGACAGGTATGTGGCCATCTGTCACCCACTCCACTACACCATCGTCATGAGGAAGGAGCTATGTGTCTTATTAGTGGCTGGATCTGGTTCTTCTATTGTGCCCACGCCCTGTTGCATACGGTCCTTCTGTCCCGCCTGTCCTTCTGTGCTGACAATACCATCCCCACTTCCTCTGTGATCTCACTGCACTCTTGAAGTTGACCTGCTCAGATCCCTCCCTCAATGAGCTAGTTATCTTCACCAAGGGGAGAGTGTTTGCCTTCCTACCATTCAGTACTATTTTGGGTTCTTATATTCCCATTGGGGTCACCATCCTGAGGGTCCCCTCCATCAAGAGGATCTGCAAAGCCTTGTCCACCTGTGGCTCCCACCTCTTTGTGGTGTTTTTGTACTATGGGACTCTTGCAATGATTTACTTCTTTCCTTCATCAAATAACCCCAAAGTCAAAGACATAATTGCTTCAGTTATGTATACAGTTGTGACACCCATGTTAAACCCCTTTATCTATAGCCTGAGGAACAGAGACATGAAATTAGCTCTGGGGATATTTCACAGGAGAGGGCTTTTTTTTTCTCCAAGTAACAGTTACCCACTCATGTTCTTAATTTTCCTAGTGATGCTTCCAGAGACATCTCCTTGAAAAATTGTGTAGGTAACTGTGGTAGATTGCAAAAATGGTCACAATACTTTGCAGCCCCTCCTTGCAAGAGTGGAGTTTATTTCCCCAACTGTTGAATCTGGGCAGGAATTGTGACTTACTTTGACAACTAGATTCAGCACAAGTGATGTTGTGAGAGTTCCAAGCCTAGGTAGACTATGTTCCTACTGCCCTTGGAACCTTAAGACCACAATGTGAACTAGGCCAAGTATGAAGACGGGGGACCACATGGAGGAGAACCAAGATGCTCCAGCTAATAATCAACCAGCTCCTAGGTGAGCTGGTAGGTGATTGTAGAGGCATGAGTGAGGCCCTTCTGAGATCAATTGGACCTAGCCCAGACCAGAAGCACCATCCAGCTGAGCACAGTCCCAGCCCAAATTACCAGCCCGTAGAATTGTCATATAAACAACTAGCTGTTTAAGCCACTACGTTTTGGGATGGTTTGCCATGCAGCAAAAGCTAACTGATACAATGACTGCCCTTGTTTTTGGTACCCTCCAAACTTTACTTGATTTCCATGATCCCTCCCCCTTTTTGGTTCCCTACTTGGATTGTATTCCCTGCGTATTTTTCTAGAACACACTGGCTTTAAAACCTCTGAGTTATGATCTCCATAACCTATTGACTGAGCTTTAGGTATATCTCTTGTCCTCACTATTCTCTCATAACCCCTGGTAACTGGCATTGCCAGCAACTCTCATTTTTGTCAAGTCAGCATCTAAAGGTACAGCCTTATCTATCTGAAAACACATGAATGCCTTGCTATGATATCAAAATACATAAATTTTCTCTTTCTGAAGGAAGATATTACATATTATGTGCTTCACCCTTAAGAAGAGAAACAATCTTAGACTACAATTAGAAGACTGAATAATATTGCATTTTATAGGTTATATCTTCTTACTCTTTCATTTACTGATACCAAGTTGAAAAAATAAGAAGTCTCAAATGTGATATGCTACTTGTCTTTAGAATACAATTCACATGTGGACCCTTACAGTTGCATTAGTATCAAGGTTTGTGGAATATTGTTTTAGAAAAATAAAAAGTCATAAAAATGGCTAATATGAAATTTTATGATAATTCATAGTTTGTAACTATTTATGTAAATGAGATATCAATAAACATTTTGGTTTCTTTGTCATTTTGTCCATAATTTCCATAGTTATAAAAAGTAATCATCACTCCAAGTGAAGTTGATGAAGTTGAAAATATTTGTATTTTCACTGTAGTTGCTAGTTATATATTGTGTCTGATTGCTTCCTAAAATCTAAACATATTGAAAAATTTTGGCTTTATTATTCTTACATTTGTTTTTACCTATGATAAAAACCCTACAGAGGAACACAGGATATTGAATCTCAATTCTAAATTCCCCAAACCAATGTAGGACGTATTTTTTTTTTTCTAAGTGGGACTTTCTTTGTGGGAACAGCCTACCTATGCCAGCTTAATACTAGGTTATGAAAATGAGTTATCTTTTGCTTCACAAACAGCAAAAATTGATTTCCAGGTAAGACATGGCTCCATGTATATATAAGTAGTTCATTCTTTTAACAAGTATTTATTATGTGTCTACCGTGTGTACAGAAATTTCTAGAAGTGAACAAATCAGATAAAAATATTTTTCTGTTGTAGGGCTTATATTCTAGCGAGGAGAGGATGAAAATAAACACAATATATAAATAAGTTTCATGGTGTTTAAGTGCTGTAAAAAGCAGCAGTGTGAAGAAATCAGGAATGTGGGGAATAGGTTGCAACTGTAAGTCATGAGATGAGGACTGGTCTCGCCGAGAAGGTGATATTTGAACAAATAATGGAAGGCAGCAAAGAACAGAGCCGTGAGGATATTTGCAGCAAAAACATTTGGGGGAGAGGAAACAGCAACTACAAACCTCTGAGATGAGATGGTGTCAGCTATGTTCCAGGACGACAAAGGAGACTAGAGTGACTGAAGAGGGGTGAGCATGTAGAAGAGCAGTAGGAGATCATTTTAGAGCTAACAGGGGGGAGCTACTGTGTGTAGGTCTTATAAGCTTTGTAATTTGATTTTCTGTGAATTACTTGTGTAGCCCTTGGAAGCTTTTCAGCAGAAGAGTAACATGATTCGGCTTAAAAAGGATCACTCTGGCTTCTGAGATGAGAATCGACTGAAGGAGAAGGGGGCAGAGTGGAAAGAGGGAGCCCATCTAGGAGCTTCCACAACAGTGCAGTTAAGAAATGAGAGTCAGGCTAGGGTGGTAGCAGAGGAAGTAGTAAGAATTCAGCGAATACTGTATTTTGTTGTAAGTTAGAACCAACAAGAGTTGCTGACGAATTGAGAGGAGTGTAATAGAACGATAGGAGTCAAGGATTCACACATTTTGGTTTGAACAACATGGAGTTGTCATTAACCACAATAGTACTGACACAAATGGCATATGTATGTGTGAGCAGCTGAAGGTCAGGAGTCTGTAAACAGTAACAATAAAATAACCCATGTTTATTGAGGACCTACAAAACACCAGACAATATTCTAAGCAAATTATATATTTTAAGTCATTGAATCAACTACTTTAAGAGAGGGGTTCAACTGTCACTCATCCCGAGCAATTCTAATGAGGGAAATGGTGCAATTGTGGCTTATCTAAACTAGAAGTGCCAATTAAAACCATACTGGCAAGGGGCTGGCCCAGTGGCCTAGCGGTTAAGTTCCCGTGCTCTGCTTAGGCGGCCCGGGGTTCGCGGGTTCGGATCCCAGGCGTGGACTGATGCACCACTTGTCAAGCCATGCTGTGGCAGCGTCCCATATAAACTAGAGGAAGATGGGCATGGATGTTAGTTCAGGGTTAATCTTCCTTACATGAAGAAAAAAAGAAAAAAACACACTGTCAAATGTTACACAGAGACACTCTCCACAGATGAATGGTTTGGAGGTCTCAGATATTCCATAATTTTCCCTAATCACCCAGTTGGCCTGCTGTCAGCACACTGTCCAGTCTGGCCCCTTTGGTAGTTTCTGGTCAATCAGCTTAGCCAGACTTCCTCCAGTTTCCTTCTCCCTCTATGCATCCTGTTTTCTCACTTCTATGATGGTCTATTGTTTGTTATTTCTTGCATATTTTAGCAAATGTCTAGAAAACTTTCAAACTAAAGTAAGTGCATCTGAGTTATTCTTTGCTACCATTTTATGGAAGAGGAAACATTTGATCTTATAGCCATACTAATAAGACCCAAGGATACTAATTGTAATCCTAAAACTAATAATCATTCTCTTTTATATTGTATACAGGAATATTTTTATCCCATAGTTATGTATATGATTTAACTGTACCCTAAGGTAGCAAAAATTAGCTACTGTCGCTGGTAGGTTCCAGATCGCCAAAGAAACGACAGGGATTTCCAGAATAGAAAGGAGCATGAGACTTCTGTTCCTGAACAATATTTCCTTATAGAGCTCTACAGAAACTGTTCCCAATTTACTTAAGTACATCCACAGTGTTTTTCTCCATCATCAGAACAATCAAGTTCAGACAGTTGGTACCTAGCAATTACCATAGCAATACATTTGTATCTCCCCAATGTATAGCTCAAAACTATTCCTATGTAATCAAATGAACTTCCTGTAATTACAACTTCAAAATATGAATGGATCTTTGGGGATATTCATTTCTTTTCTCCAAGTGTTCAAAATAAACCTCTAGTCACTCACATTTGATTAATAGCCTTATGTGGTAACATAACAGGAGGGCACTAAGACACTAGTTCTGGCCATTGTATGGTGCTGTATGCATAATACACAAGTCTAACCAAGGTGTGGAAGTAGCATTGGACTCTACCACCAATCTCGTGGCCATTGACATGAGACATAAAGATCCAAACAATTTGTGCTCACTGTTATGAGTCTTTTTTCTGAGACTTTACTTTTTCTTTTATTTTTTTGTTGAGGAAGATTGGCCCTGCGCTAATGTCTGTTGACAATCTTCCTCTTTTTTCTCCCCAAAAGCACAGCACATACTTGTGTACCATAGTTGTAGAGTTGTAGCTCTTCTGTGTGGGACGCTGCCTCACCATGCCTTGATGAGCAGGGAGTAGGTCCACTCCCAGGATCCGAACTGGCGAACCCCACCCACCGAAGCGGAACCCATGAACTTAACTGCTATGCCACTGGGCCAGCCTTGAGACTTTATTTTTTTATAGCATTTTTAGGTTCACAGCAAAACTGAGAGGAAGGTACAGAGATTTCTCCTATACTCTCCTGCCCCCACACATGCATAGCCTCACCCATTGTCAACATCGCTTACAAGAGTGGTATATTTATTGCATCTGACGAACCTACATTGACACACCAAACTGTAGGGTTCACTCTTGATGTTGTACACTCTATGGGTTTGAAAAATGTGTAATGATATATATCCATTATAATATCATATAGAGTACATTCACTGCCCTAAAAATCCTCTATGCTCTACCTATTCATCCCTGTCCCCCTGCATCCCCCCAGCAGCCGTTGACATTTTTACTGTCTCAATAGTTTTGCCTTTTCTGGAAAGTCATATGGTTGAAATTGTACAGTATGTAGCCTTTTCAAATCGGCTTCTTTCACTTAGTAATATACATTTAAGTTTCCTCCATGTCTTTTTACGGCTTGATAGCTCATTTCCTTTTAGTGCTGAATCATATTCCGTTGTCTGGATGTGCCACAGTTTATTTACACATTCATCTACTGAAGGACATCTTGATTGCTTAGAAGTTTTGGCAATTATGAATAAAGCTGCTATAAACATCTGTGTGCAGGTTTTTGTGTGGACATAGTTTTCAACTCCTTTGGGTAAATACCAAGGAGCACAATTGCTGGATTGTATAGTAAGAGTATGTTTAATTTTTTAAGAAACTGCCAAACTGCCTTCCAAAGTGGCTGTACCATTTTGTATTACTAGCAGCAATGTGTGAGAGTTTCTGTTGCTCCACAGCCTCATCAACATTTGATGTTGTCAATGTTGCAGACTTTAGCCATTCTAACAGGTGAGTAGTGATATCTCATTATTTCAATTTGCATTTTCCTGATGACATATGATGTGAAGCATCTTTTCATATGCATATTTGTCATCTGTATCTTCTTTGGTGAGTGTCTGTTAAAGTCTTTGGGCCATTTTTAAAACAAGTTGTTTGTTTCTTTACTGTTGAGTTTTAAGAGTTCTTTGTATATTTTGGTTAACAGGCCTTTATCAGATGTGTCTTTTGCAAACATTTTCTCCAAGTCTGTGGCTTGTCTTCTCATTCTCTTGACATT